TGGCGGTAACGAAGGTAATATTGGCGGTGGTAGGTCGATGTTTTCAGCGGCTTTCCTCGATAGCTGTCGGGCGAAGTCTGAAGCATGCCACCATTCTAGGAACTTGAGCGCGAAGATGCTGGTTGGAAGAAGAATCTTCAGCGAACTCAACAAGCGCGGCTCTATGCTCCTCGCAATGTTCCTTGGCGAGAAGATGGATCCGCCTTCTCCAGGCCGCGCCGGGCCAACCTTCCTCGGCGCCGTCGCAATCTCAATCGCCCTGTGATCCGCCTCTCCCAGTCTTCGTATACGCGAGCCGATCAGCCACATGAATGGCGAATGATACTTGGTCCCATCAAAGAGGTAGGCCATGTTGAAGGCCAGCAAGGAAAAGTAGTAAGCAGCATTTACACTCGGATATATGTTGCGTAGAAACCACTTGTAGTAGTGCATCAGCCTCTCCTTCACGCTGGCCCCTACTCTCAATCCTTCTCTGTCACGGTTGTACCCGGGTCCCAAAAGGTTGGCATGCGCAGCGTGGACATCGTAGCCCTCGTCGAACTTCCTCTTCAGCCATGGGAGGCCGACCAGGACGGCGAGGTTCTTCCATATGTCGCCACTGCCCAGCTTTACAGCCTCTCGTACGCTGTCCGATGCGCCCAATTGTGCGCGCGGTATCTCACCTCCTCGCACTTTCAACACCCGGGCGCGCTTCAGCCCGTAGAAGTTCTCGGTGAATGATCCTCCGTATGTGCGAAGGAAGTGGCGCTCCACGAGCAGCATCAGCAGCGCGTAGACTTCATCGAAGGAGTTGAGTATGGGGAGCAGGTAGCGTGGATATCGGGGTGTTGTGATGGCGAGGAGGTAGCGCAGCGACGGGGGCAGGAGCGATGCGAGCTGTTGCTCGGACAGGAGTTCGAAGAGCGAGGGCTTGAGGTCGTCTATGCCATGCTGGAGGGCGGGGAGGAACTCCATGTCGGCCTGTGAGAGGGACTGGGAGATCGGATGATCATGGGGTTGGGATTGATGAGTGTTGTGGCATCGTCGGCTTCGCGATGGTTGATGCGGCAGGTACGCGCAGCCGAGGCAGGAGCGCTCGGGGCTAGCCGTCACCTCCGCGTCCGCTCGACGCGTGAGCTCCTTCCTACGTCACATGCTCCCCAGGCGGCAACTGACACCACTGCGCTTCGGTCATAGCGAATGTAGCAGCAAGACGCTCTCGTATACAACAATCTACTCCGCCACGATGTATTCAGACGACCCAAGATGTACCGAACTCGCGTATCCCGACCTGGTCAACTTTGGCGTCTCCGTGTAAGCCTGCCCTGTTCGTCGCATGTCAACACAGCTAATCACCGTCGCGTAGCTTCATAGTCCTCGGAATCCTCGTATCCTACCTTCCACAGCACTATAAAATCATATCGCGTCGGTCATCGCGTGGTCTGAGCCCCATGTTTGTCCTCCTAGGGACTGTGTCGGGAACCGCTAGCATCGCGAACATTTTGACCCTACCGGAAAGCACGAGGGACATGGGATGTTGTAAGGAGATTGGAAGCTTTCCATGCGCCGCAGCTATGCTCGGGATAGTACAGATCGGGGTGCAGTGGAGTTGTTTCTTCTTCATGTACGGCACTCTCAACCGTCCAGCATACTAGACACTAACAACTGACAGCATGCTGCTCTTCCTCATCTTCTTCCCTCGAGCCACTTCACCAGCTATAGAAGAAGAACAAGATACCGACATGCCCACATGGAAAGAGGCCGTCCTCGTCCTAGGTGTTTCACTCGCCTTCTTCGTCGTCGCATTCATCGGCTCCGTCGTTTTCGTATACGCGCTCCCTTCACACGTTCGCGCATGGGCAAACTTCCTCGGCTTGCTTGCTACCGTCCTTGCCGCTATACAATACATACCACAGATCCTCATGACTTGGAGACTACAGGAAACCGGAAGTCTATCCATCCCTATGATGTGCATTCAGACACCGGGGAGCTTCGTCTTTGCCGCAAGTCTATATGCGAGACTAGGACCTGGAGGCTGGAGTGCTTGGGGCTTGTTCATCTTTACGGGCATCCTCCAGGGTTTCCTACTCGCTATGGGGTTGTCTTTCGTTCTGAGAGATAGAAAGAAGCAGAGAGACCAGCAGCTTGCTGATGCCGATGGGAACGGCATTGCTGGTGATAGCGAGCGAGCGCCATTGCTGCATGGTGAAAGATGACATCTTGATTCTTGATACCACTGATATCCAATCTCGCCTAATAATTCTAATACTCTCACATTTCTCTTCCATACAGACTTCTTACCGAGTACGCTTCCTTACATTTACTCTGTTCATGGGCTTGGAAGCGCCCAGAGACGGACCTTGACATCGAGGTACTCGCGCCCTTTGCGAGCTATATATGCTGGCGTCGCCTCACTCAGATCAAGATAAGATACTTCACATTCTTCGCAACTGTGGGATCCAACTCAGCCGCATGAACTCACCAAAAGCATTCCAGTCACAGTTTTCTGTTATCATGGATCATAGTCCCAGATTCATATTCAGTTCGCCGCTCGGACACGCCAACAACCAATACCCAGGAGCCATGACACGGAACGTACTCATCGGTGAAGCTTGCATCGCTTTCAATCGGTCAACTAGAGACCGTTCGGATATATCGACTTCTCTGGTCACCTTGCGATAGAAGAGACAGGATTCGTGACGATGGTAACCTTCCCGCCAAGCCAGTCTATCGCCCTTTGGGCAGGTATCAATGTCTGCCCCTTGGCAACTTGGCAAAGACCGATCTACTCTCTTGTGACCTTCTTTTCCGGACACAGCACCTGCAAGACGATGATAAGAGTGGGCCAGGCACGGTGTTCCGCGCTCAAACAAGCTGCATTTACCCAGGAGGCCGGAACGTCCAGTGGCGGGAAACATGCGTATATGAGTTCGGCGCCGCCACCTAAACATGGGCGACGTTACTCGCACGCTCGTCACATCTGGATCCTGGAGAAGCTAGCCGATTAAAGTGACAACATGAAGGTTTCCAGTGCTATCGTCCTTGCGGGCGCTGCGCAAGCATTCGCTGCTGTGCGACCCCGGCCTATGGTCTCATCTGGACCAATCCAGGCTGAGATCAAGACTGAGAAGTACGGACGTCTATTCGTTGATTCGACGACACACTGACTTTTGTAGGTTGATGGGTAACCTCAAAGCTTTTGACTCTATCGCAAAAGCAAATGGCGGCAACCGTGCTTTCGGTCTTCCGGGCTACGCTGCATCTGTTGACTACATGCTCGCCAAAACCCAGAACACACACTTCAAGACATGGACTCAGGATTTCCCGGCTCTTTTCAACAAGATTGAGTCCATTGAATTCAGTGTGAGCAACAGCTCTTACCGTGTCATTGGATTGTCCTACTCGCCATCGACGACTCCGGAAGGATTGACGCTGCCGCTTGTACTGGGTGCCTCTGGACCCGAAGGTTGCACAAACGAAGCCTACGACAACTTGGATGTTGAGGGCAAGATCGTTTTGGTGCAAAGAGGTGCCTGCCCTGATGGTACTACCCTCGCTGGGCGCATGAAGCCTGCCGCTGCCGCGGGTGCTTCTGCAGTAATCATCTACGCAAGCGACACTGCGAATGTTACCGGTGGCACGTTGTCCAACCCTAACCCCGAATACGTGTCAACCGGCTACATTAACCTCGCCGACGCTGAACCCCTCGTCGCACGCCTCAAGGCCGGCGAAGCTATCGAAGCGTACTTCCAGCAAACCCAGACCGTAGAAACACGCATCACACAGAACGTCTTCACCGAGACCAAAGACGGTGACCCAACTAACGTCATTATGCTCGGTGCGCATCTTGACAGTGTACAAGCCGGCGCTGGTATTAACGACGACGGCTCAGGCAGCACACTCATCCTCGAGATTGCCAAGGCGCTCAGGAGATACAACGTCAAGAACAAGGTCCGATTCGCATGGTGGGGCGCGGAGGAAAACGGTCTTCTTGGATCCAAGTACTACACACAGAACTTGAACGCCACAGAAGCGAACAACATCCTCACATACCTCAACTTCGACATGGTTTCCCGCGGCTACTTTGGTGTCTTCGATGGTGATGGCAGCACTTTCAACCTCACGGGTGCGCCAGGATCAGCAGCCATCGAGAAGCTCTTCGTTGAGCATTTCCAGAAGGAGGGAGTAAACGTGACAGCCGCACGCTTCACCGGTGGAAGTGACTACCAATCTTTCATGAACATTGGCAAGCCTGTTGGAGGCCTCCACACTGGAACCGGTGTCGAGCAAGATCCTTGCTACCACCAAGCTTGCGACACCATTGACAACCCCAACCCGGAGACACTTTTCATCAACGCCAAGGTAAGCACCAAGAAACCAGGTTGCACAGTGAGAACATCTGCTAACACACATAGGCTGCTGCACACGTACTTTCCATCCTTGCCACCAAGGGTGAGCAGATCATTCCCAAGAGCCCAGTGAACGCCAGCATGATCACTGAGCGTGGTATCATCGGTGTTGAGCCGAGATGGACGCTGCCTGCGGAGGGAGAAATGCACCTTTCTACTTGCGGACATGAGGTCTAATCGTCTAGATCGAAAGACGTGTATATAGCAAGGGTCACAGCCAAGGCCACAAAAAGATCATGAAATGAATTGAATGAACATCAATCGTGCCACTCATTAGGTTCCTAGATACTCCTGTTCCGGCCGGCTTTGAACTCATAGTTGTGACAAACGAGATGGTATTGTGTTACGCTGTATTCTGCCTCTTCCCTCTGAAACCACACGTTCACCCTCTCTTTCCACCTACTTTCGCGAACATCCTAGACATGAGACTCTGTTTATTCCGCTCGTGATGGTTCAAGCACTTTGCCTCATCCACACAGAGATTCAGAGCGACCGCTCTCTTCGCCACCGCCGTAGCTTCGACAAGGAGATGCTGCCCCTTTATTGCGGGTGGTTGACTTTGTGGCAGTGTCTCGTAGCGTACCGAGCTAACGGAGCAAGCTGTGTCGTGGGTCATCTGTGTCCGGCGTTTGATGGCTTTTGTGCTTTTTCTGTGGTTTCTCTGCCGTACGATAGGCATGGGCTTCTCGGCGGGTACAACGGCGCCACATCGTGCGTGCTTGTATGCGGTAGGTAGCTCTATTTTCGGTGGGTATTGAGACGTCGAGTCTGGCGTTGTTGCGTTCGCGTGACTGCACACTGCACGGCTGATGGATGACTTGCGTCCTGCAACCAGGTCTTCCATGGCTCTTGAACTTTCATGCGACTGTTCCTTCCTCTTCTTAGATGGCTCCACCACTTTTGGCGTAGGAACCTGGAATGTGGGTTCATGCGTGATCTCGGAAGGCACGTTTACTCTGGGCTCAGGGTCGGATGATACGAGTCCTTTGCTGGTCCGTGTCTTTGATCCGATCGTTCCTGAAAACCTTGCGCCGACGCTGCGGTGTACATGAGGTGCTGAATGTTCAGCGTCGTCATCTTGATCTTCATGGGCAGCAATGGTCATTGCATCCTCGTTGAGATCGATCGACGGTCGGAATACCGAGTATATGCTTTCGCTTCCATCGTAATCCTGGTAACCCCGTTCCTGTACACTGGTATCTGGAGTGTTATCGCCCACACATGTATCTGCTTCAGACATCGCGTCGTCCAGCTCATTCTCACGATACAATAGCATGCTGCTCTCGTATCTGACACATTGCCTGATCTTGTCTCTCAGTTGGTCCTCGAAGTATACTTCGTTTCCTTCACCATCTTTTCCTTTGATGGGACAGAGATCCAACAATCCATTTTTCTCTGCCAATTGCGCCTTGAAATACCCTCCATGCCCATACCATCCTTCCACCGTTGCTCTTATCGCTGCAGGGCACTCATAACCTATACCCCATCCTGTGTGGGTGAGCACATCGTATAGATACTGGCGCACGACAGTGAATCCATCGTTCTCGTCCGGCAAGGCGTGTGCGGGCGTACCATCGCGGGTATCCACGCGTATAAAACTGTCGGAAGAAGGTACTCGGAACAGGCTCCAGCTCAAGGCTCGATATCGGTCTCGCGCAAGCTTTTGAGTCTTAACAAGACTGATCGGGGTGATGTGATCCGAGGATGGGCAGAGCTCGGGGTGGCGCATTGTGACGGCGGTAATTTATCGAGGCGGGAACTTGTGCAGCGGCGATCCAGACCCTAGAAGGTGTATATCTATGGGCTGAAGTGGCAATTTCGAGACTACCAGTTTCGAGATCAAGGGGCGTAGCGTAAGTTTGATTCTTGCAACAACAATTTAATGGAGAGGACACATTCAGGCAGACGCTGAATTACAGTGGGAGTTAATGTGTGTTTCGTTTAGCTGCTTAAGTTTGTCACATTCAAACTCTAATGTGGTCGTACCAAGGTGATGTTGGTAAATTAAATTTTCTGGGTCGTGTATGGCCCCAGTGGAGCCAATCATGGGCTTTCCGCAATCTCATGACTGTGAACGCTGGGAGCGGGTTTCAGCAATTCTCCAGAAAATGGTACCATCATATACTCCTCGAATATCGGCCTTGCGCATCCTTCCGTCCTGTGGCCATAGCAGGATGTACATGGCTATCCCTGTTAAATGTCAGTATCGTATGCTCAGTCCGTGAGGTGATGAGCCGCAACTCACATTCTAAGGCACCCGCAAACCATCCGAAGAAATCATTCGCGCAACATTGGCCTGCCCAAACGTCGTATAGATCTCGCCCGGTCAGGTAGTTCTTGCCCCCCGCATATTTCTCGAATATCGCATCGAAGCGTCGCGTGTCCAGCTCGGCATCCAAGTCGTACGCGCCAGTGGTGCTTCCATGTCTGTTGCGGTTGACATTATCAAGGTAGATGGCAAAGAGCGGGTGCGGCAGGAAAGAACTCTGGGTGCTGTAAGATGAGCACACAGCCATGGTAACCGCTGCCCACAGACATAACGCGATGTTGAAGCCGAGTTTACGGAAGCCAATGAATATGTCCCATGGGTAGATCACTCCGTCCTGATCGGCGTCCCAGAAGTCGCAATGCCGGCGTAGCGCACTTCGTCGAGTGTTGGGCCTGCCCTGAACGTTACGATGCGTGATCACTTTCGTGTTCCTTCTCGTTTCTATGCTTTGCTTGTCATCGTAGGATTTGGGTGTAGCGTTAGCCTCGCCGGTTCCTGTGAAGGTGCCGTTGCATATATCCCCAACTCCCGCTAGCCAGTTGATCGTCTTGAACGCGATGACATCTTCGTGTTCATCTACGAAAGTCTTAGTAGAAGCCGACAGCGACTGGTCCTGAGACTTGTCATCACCATCTTCCGCACTAACGACTTCTGGAAGTTCGGGGCCGCTAGTTGCCGGTTTGTTGCTTGTGAAGTTGAAAGTTGCCTTGGCGGAGAAGATGTTGAGCTGGACAGTCATTGTGTAGTCGGCTTGTAGGCAGGGACGTTAACGATCTAGGATCGCGCAAGCAAAAGAAGCAGAAGACATGCGGCTCTTGTTTGCTTCTCAAGGTAACATGTCGCAAGTACCTTGCCTCCTGCGAATTACCATCATCTGACGTATGTCTTGGCGTTCAATTTGGGATGCGATACCCATCCGTTCTTACCCTTTGTGTGACCCTTGCATCCTTCTGAGGCTGGAACTTGTTTTGCTCGTCGTCCACCGCCTGTGCCGTCTCTCTTCATCTTTATCGCTACGTAAGCCCAGGGTTAGCGCACACCATTCAAGCAGATGTTTGTGGCGTCGCTTCGGTAGAGACGCGTGTTTGTGGCGTGGCAAAGACGCGTCTCAATGGATTGGAGAAGTCTTAAGGGTTCGCTGCACATAATTCATGCGTCGACTAGCGACATTACACCGACTCGATGCAAGAGCACGGGATGGGGGATCGAAGGAATTCAGACGTTGTAGCATCGAGCGCAAACGATGCTTACCGAGAGCATGTGGGATGGCCAGCTTGTCCACAAGCTCCGCGTTTCGGCTAAGCCCCGCTCCACACATCTGCGACCCCACTCGCCACACATTAGAGTGCTGAACTTTGAGCATCGGTCTGTGGAATTCTGGTGGACGGTTGACGCAATGTAAAGTTTCGAGAATATGTACCTAATTTCTTATGTTCTTGTCATCAAACACCAGAAGCACGGTTGTGTAGTGTACGTTTCCTCCAACCCTGTTCTCCTGAAGTCTGTCTAACCGCCAATGCAGGTAGTGGTTATCACTCCAGATTTTGACTTCTCTCAAACCTTCTGGTAACCCCGGTTCGAACCCGGGCACGACCTTAACGATGTCTTTCTTTTTGTCCTTACGTTCGATTCTCATGTGGGGCAAACCACCATCATCTTTTTACTGCTTCGCTGTAATACTACCTGCCACCCTATAAAACAGTTCTTTCCTGTGAACTTTTTGATCGTGATATTATCGCTAGCTTAATGCTATTTATATAGCAGCAAGTCTATCCATCTGTCGCAAGTGCAACAGAGTAGACTATACAAAAATTTTGAGCTCAGATGTGTAACATACACATCAGTAGTCATCATACATTCGCTTGTCAAAGAAATCCGGCCGCATTGTGTTTTACATTACTGTTGGAAAGATGGTTCAATTACTGGGCACGTGCGAAAGAATACAAGCATTACAGCCAACTCATGAAACACAAAACCGCCCTCAAATCAGCGCAGCCTCATGACCAAGACGATAATCGTTGCTCTCGTCCTGCCGGTCCATAAGTCATTGTCCTCGCACAGTGCCACGTCGGAGGTGTGTTCCTTCCCCTCCTAGGAGAGGCGCTCTATCACTGGACGGCCGGTACCCGCAAGCGATCACCTCTCTTCTGAACATAGCCCGGATTCGATCTCGTAGGCGTCTCCGGTAGCCCCTGCGACCCTTCGACTCCGCTATGGTCGTGACTGCAGATGGATTAGAGGTGATACACCGTGGGCCTCCCAGTGGTGCAGGTGACGGCTGCGTCTCAGAGATGGTAGCACCGTATTCGTATCGGGCGTCCTCGAAGGGATTTAATTGTGCCTGTGGATGAGGAGTCGACGAAGAGCTTTTGCCTGTTACCTCGGCCGGTCCCGTGGGCATGTATACCCCAGAGTCTTCTCGTGGGTAGATATAATGGCGTCTCCTAGGCAATGCCTCGTTTGACGTGGCTGGAAGGCATGCTGGACGGTCGTCGCGTTCGGCGGGGAGACGTTTTCCGATACCCCGTACAAATCCGTAGATAGAACGGGCGGAATTGCGATCTGAAGACATGGCGAAATCTCTTACGGCGGAGTGATCGTATCGAGTCAAGTTGAACACGAAGGCGGGTTGGAGGGAATCGTTTTGAGCGGACCTAGCGTTGTTAGCATCGAATTGTGAGCGTGAACACCGGTACATACGCAGTATTGATGCAAGAGAGCAATGTTGATAAGCTATTGAAGCGGTATGATGTGGTGTGATGAATGTGATGATAGAATGTTGGGAGGCGACCTAAATGATGCCTGGACGATACTCACCCATGTCGACATCAGAAGAAAGTCCGTCCCATGCGGAGGCATCGCGACCGCGCAATCAACGCGCTTTCCGCCGTTACCACATTGGTCATGATACAGTGCCAAGAGCCAACAAGGATCGCGAAGATAGTAGCCCCTGAAAACGTTTGACGAGGACAAAGCCATGTACTTTAAAGATCGATCAAGTCCTCGGTCTCCTCTTCTTCGTCCTCGCCGCTCCAGTCCAGCTTCATCAAAAGACGGTCGATACCTCCTACTCTCAATGGCTCATAGGCACCTTCCTCCATCGTCGCTCCAATTGATGTACCAGGTGCAGAAGCTCCAATCCTGTCGCTATCAATCTCACGAAGCCGCTCTACGAGTGTCTTGAGGTCGCTGTCAAGCCTCCTCCTTGCCCGGTCCATCTCCAGGCTGACCTCGCGCTCTTCTTTCTTGTAGTTTTGCGCATAGTCCTCCACACCTTCATCTTCTTCCAGATCCAGGTTCTGCTGGATCTTTGTAAGACGCTTGATGTATGCCACTAGCTCGTCTACGTGGGTGCACAAGGTACGCAGCGCTTTTGTGAAGGCTTGATCGGTAAGCAGAAGCGAGTACGCGACCGAAGACAGAAAGCGGCGATGTGCTGAGGCCAATGCTTCTGGATCATGCTGTTGCCGTATGCTTCCTTCTGTCGTCGACCTGCGGAAGCCAGTGGCACTCAAGTTGTCGGAAGCTGCTGGCAACGATTCCGCGGTTGAAGGAACTTGAGGACCGGTAACCCATGCTATGAAATGACCGAAGGATTGTTGTACGACCGCACCATGAAAGTAAGCTTCGCTCTCCGCAAAGAAGAAGATAGCGGCTGCGCATGTCGCCCATGTCTTCCGCATGTCCTGCGCCCGTTTCGTAGTGCGTTGTCGTCGCCGCTTCAGCATTGCTTTACCATGCGCGGAATTGCTGTATTGATATCCAGGCGGACAAGGATGGTCTCTCCGTATTGAACTGTATCGCCATAGTTCTGCTAAATGCAGATGTGCTCTCCGGACTGCGAGAAGGGAAGCATTGATCGATGAGTAAACGTCAAGGTCTGCTTTTGTTATGAAGAGGTCAAGTGGTGAACGGATGTCCATCGTTAAAGACGTTGGTACAGACAGCAGTAGGTCGTCGAAAGACATGATGGCAAGTTGTGGAAGCATCGAGTCCGCGTCCTTAGCGCGGCCCGGTGTCCCAGGACGGTTATTAGACGAGCCGTTAACACTGAGATGTAGAAGCTGAGTTGCAACGTCCAGAATATCATCTGTGTGTTCGTCCTCGCTAGATAAGGTAGACAGAACGGAGAAGGACCGTGCGAGGACCTGGTTAATCTCCGCTTCCTTGATCACAACTGCCTTGACAGATTGGCCAGACTTGGTGGGCTGCGACCCTTTATGTCGAGATAACATTTTATCATCTGCTTCTGCAATCAGTGTCAGGGCAAACTCTCCTCTTCCTAGCAAGAAGAATTGATGTAGAACCGTCAATGTCTCAACAATCTTCTCACGAGGTAACAAGTGTTGTAGGAGATTCCGAGACAGCGAAAGGCGGATGTTGGCAATTGCCTCCGAGAGCATGGCCGTTGACACCGGTGCACTCACTTGAGAGAGTTGTTGAACGTGCTTAGGAAGTAG